GGAGGCAGTGAGGGCCACCAAGAACACGTTGGTCCCTGGCTCTGCAGGTAAGAGCTGTTTTCTGCATGTGGGTGACACAGGGGCTGGGAGGAGGGCTCCTGGTGGGCTGTGGGTTTGGGGCATTGTTACTACAGCCACCTGAACACAGGTCTCTCGCACCTGAGTGGACACAGGCTGGGCTCCTGATCAGGCTCATTTTCTAACCTGCCCAGGGCTTCACGAGCACTGTCGCCGTCTGCTTTCCAGCTCAGGACCCCACCAGACCACCTGCGGGTGGGCAAGCGGGTGACTTGGGCCTACCCATAGGAACAAAGATGCCAGGCATTGGGTCCTGTCAATTTCAGGGTCCTCTCAGCAGCCTCCTGGCTCTTCTCAAGTCAACCTCACCATCCCGGCTTCTTTCCTCCATTACAATGCTCCTGAGCAAATGCTTCGCTCCTGGATCTACACCAGGTAGAAACACTGTACCTGAACAGGTGAGCCCAAGTGTCACGTTCCCAGCACCAAGCGTGTGAGTTTCCAGGGGCCCTGCCCTGGCTCTCCTCTCCACGTTGCCACTCTGGCCTCCTCCTTGCCCAAAGCCTCTCAGAACACCCACTGCTCACCACTGCTTGTTTCCTGCCTCTGCCCCACTCTTGGAGAACTCACCTCTTCTAGTATTTTCTCCCAAGATTGCCTCTTATCCATCTCTATAGCTAGCTTCTTTTTTTTTTTTTTGATGGTACTGAGGGTTGAACTCAGAATTTTGAGCTTGCTAGGTAAGCCTGCTATCACTTGAGTCATGGACCCAGCCTTTTTTGCTTTAAGCTATTTTTGGAATTGGGTCTTGTGTTTTAGCCTGGACATCCTGGACTGTGATTCTCCTATTTATGCTTCTCAAGTAGCTGGGATGACAAGCACATACCACTACACCCAGCTATTGGTTGAGATGAGGTCTCGCAAATTTTTGCCCAGGCTGGTTGCAAACTGTGGTCTCCCGATCTCCACCTCCTGAGTAGCTGGGATTATATCTGTGCAGGGCAGGATGCAGCTAGCTTCTGAGTTCTCCAGGGCTAGGGATACCATGAAGAATGTCACAGGCTAAACCCCTTCCTCCCAGGCTACAGTTTTCCTTTTTGTATTCAAGTTCCTAACACTCTCAACCTGAGACCCTCTCAGGTCTCTGCTAACCTGGCTTCCTTGGGCGGCCCAGGCCTGGGGTCTGATGAGGAAAGGGCGAGTCTGGCCGGACTTAGAACACAGGACCAACACTAGCTGCTTACATCCTGGCCTGCAGGGCTTAATGGGCCTTACCACTCGGGACTGGCTCCCACATAGACTCTCCTCTGCCCCTGGGGCTGGTTTCTTCGGAGACATGGCAGTCGGAGCTGTCGCCAAGCAGAACCAGCTGGTGCAGTCCCTGGGGTCAAGCGTCAAGAAAGCAGCCAGAAGGGGAGCCCATCGGGCAGCCCTCATGGCAGCGGGCATGAATGGCACTGCCTCGTGGCCTCCGAACTGCACTAGTGCCCACAGCAGGCCACCTGCCGGGACCTAGCCTCGGGCTGGGTCAGGACACCAGCAGGGACATGCCCCTGGGTCAGGTCAGGAAGACTATAGTCACTGCACTCTTCTCTGACCACGTGGCGGACTGAGGGGGCCTGACCCCAGCCGAGAGGAGGCCAGCGTTTCACAGTGTGTATGTGCTCGACCCTGCCCACACCACTGAGACTACACCATAGGTCATTGAATACAGGTCACTCCACCTGGATGCAGTGGTAGGACAAGTGCAGCTCTGCCTGAGGAGTAAGTGCCTTCTACTTGCACCCCAGCCAGATCCCCAGAGTCACACAGCCAACACCTGCTGAAGCCCCAGTGGGCCCCTCAATGTGATCCTTGCTCAGCTGGTTCAGCCTCTGCACCTGTGTGCAGTGGTCCTTTTTGTGACTTCCCCTCCCCATGGCTACCCTGACCCTTCCATCTCTCACTGCCCAGAATGTGGGTCCTAGACACAAATGAGGGGGGCACACCCTCCTGGGCCATGTACCGTCTGGATCCCAGCTGGGGAGCAGGTCCAAATGGTGCAAGACAAACTGGCCCCCTTTGGGTCAGCTCCAGGAAGTCCTGTGTCTAGGCTCACCTTGTTGATCAACCAGGAGAGGGCAGGGTCCATGGCTTCCCAGCAGCACAGGGCACAGCAGGCTCCAGGGAAGGGTGACCACGGGGTAGGAGCAAGCATTTCTGCACCTTGGCCCCAACATCACATCCTTCTCTGTCTGGGCAGCAGGGGGTGAACTCCGGCTTTCAGGGAAACAGGAGCATTGTGGTCCATTCAGGTGGTCAGCGAGGCGGCTGTGGAGTTCCCAGGGGCAGCCACTGTGGTCTTCTTGCTTGACCAGGAGAGCCCCAGGGCCCAGCACAACCTCAGAGTGGTAGTAGTGGCAGTAGATGGCTGGGATGACTGAGTTGAGTTTCCCCTCAGCTGGACTTGCTGACAAAGCTGCCCCTCTGAGAGCTAATTATCCCCCCACACACCTCGGGACAGAACAGGAGTTGTGGGGGTGAGGACTCTGGGCCTGTCCAGTGAGGGTGAGGGGCCTGGCATCAGCTGAAGGGACCCTTTGGAGGCTGAGGAACAGAGAGTCTGGCCTGCAGTCTCTTGTGACTAGTTTTCGATCTTCATGGTCATAGCAAGAGCAAGGCCAGCACTGGAAGTGGATGCAAGCCCATCACCCAGCAAGGACTCCAGCACGAGACCAGCGCAGACCACGCTGGTCCTGTACCTGGGCCTCTTCAGCATGGTCATCAGCATGAACTGGCCGGGAGCAGGCCCAGAAAGGCACATGGAGAGCCTGTCCCCACTCCTTCTGGGCACCATTCCTCAGCAGCTGACCAGGCCAGGCTTGAGTGGGGGATGAGTTTGTCAGGAGAGACCGAGAACCTGAGGTGGGCTCCGGATACTGGACAGCAGGCTCAGAGAGGGGTAAGCCTGCACGTGTGTGCACATGTAGGTGACGATGGAGACCAGGCTCTACCTGCACATTCACTGTGCCAAGTTCCATGAATGCCAGCCCCCTTGCCATAATGCACATCCTGCAGAGTCACCTTAGGCAGCCACCTACCACCTACCTGCCCTACTCATCACTAGCCTAACCAGGCTCTGTGGGCCCAGAACAGCCCCACATTTGTTGGCTGGTGATATTTCCATCTTTTGTCCCTCTGAGCTGTGTTCTAGAGTATTTCTTCTGACCTATATTCTAATTCACCAGTTCTTTCTTCCACAGTATCCAGAGTGTCTGCTAAACTGTGCCTTGAGGTTTTAATTTGGGGATCTTTTTTCTTCTGGGGGTGGGGGACAGTACTGGGCTTTAAACTTAAGGGTCTTGTGTGCTTGCTAGGCAGGCACTCTATCTCTTGAGTTATGCCCCCAGCCCTTTTTACTTTCATTATTTTCCAAATAAGTTCTTGAGCTTATGCCTAGGCTAGCGTGGACCATGATCTTCCCTCCTATTTATACCTCCAGCATTCCTCTGTGTGTGTGTTCTGTTTATTTTGTTTTGTTTTTAGTGGTACTGGGATTTGAACTCAGGGCCTCATGCTTGCTGGCAGGTGCTTTACCACTTGAGCCATCCTGCCAGCTCCAGTATACCTCTGGTGACAGGTACATGCCACCATGCTCAGCTTTTTATTGGTTGAGATGTGGTCTTGCAACTTTTTGCCAGGGCTGGCCTTGAACTGTGATCCTCCTGATATATTGGGTGTAATCCCAAGCAGCTAGGATTACAGGAAGTGTGCCACTGCTCCTGGCGGTTTGTTTGTTTGTTTGTTTCTTGACATTCTACTTGGTCCTTTTTCAAACCTACTAAGTTATAGGTTTGAAAAGTTCCCATTTGACCTCCTCTCTTCTTTGAGTGTTTAATTACCCACATCTGAGAATTCCAATGTACCTACCCAATCCCTCTGCAGATCTGTTACACAGGGCTCTTGATCACTGGGCCGGCTTCCTTGTGTGCTTGGGTTTTTTGGTTGTGACCTTGAAAAGTCTCTTATGAGGCAAGTATGAGAGGCCTAAAGCAGAGCTAGTTTGCATTTATCTCTATCAGGCAACTGGGAACCCCAACCTAGGTAAAAATCACTTAAAAGGAAACTCAGTTTGGGGTCTTATGGCCAACCTGGTGATAGGAATGTGTGTCTCATGTCCACTGGACAGTCTAATGCACACCCTTGGGGACAAGGGAGGAGAAGGGCTTAACTCTAGGATCTAGACCCTGAGCAGGAGGTCTCCTACTAGCTCTGATGTCTGCAGCTGCAGGCCTGGCTTCACACGGAGGAGCCAGACCACTCCTCCTCGTGCTCACAGCTTCCCAGAGCCCACACAGACAGGCACACGCTATTCCCCACAATAATCCTTATTGTGGCCAGCTGGTCAGTTTACCCAACAAGATGTAGACACCTCCCTCCCAGGCTGCCTGCAGGCTCTCTGCTCCTCACAGACCTGGTCCTTGGCTTTACTCCTTACCTTCCACATGTAACTGCCAGCATGAATGTTCACTGCACAGCTGGCAGGGACCTGCAGGGTGGACCTCCACCCACCCGTGAAGCGGCTGCACCCAGTATGTCTGCTCCACCAGCAGATATGACAGTAGCACCACACCCTGCAAAGGGCTACAACTTCTTCAGGTTCTTTCTCTCAAATTCAACCTGGAATTTCACCTTGATGGCTCTTTGTGTCTCCCTGAGACTCTTAACACTTCATGAAGCCCTCTCCTCATAGGTTGAGGAGGTGGGATGCCAAGACCCCCCTCACTCCATCCCCAAGAGGGTCCCATCATGTCCGTGGCAACTACCACAGGCACTGACATACTCCAGGCCCAGGCCACCCATGGGGACCAGGGCAGCAGAACCATCTCACTCCCCACGACCACCACTGCCACGTGGCCTGACACTCAGGCCACACTCCCCCTTCTCATGTCTCTGCCCCAACTCCAAATAAAAAAAGGAACAACATCCAAAGAACAGGGAGGCCAAAGCATTTAAGTTATTAAATCAAATATACAGAGTGATTCATTTAATATGTACATATTTACAAAAATGCACTTTCACGAGGAAGGTGGCCGGGGCCGGCAGGTGGGCAGTGGCCTGGTGCCCACGGCAAACGCTGACAGTTGCAGGGGGAGTCTGTGTGAAGGCACTTGTCACAAGCTTCAATACTGCCACCGTCCCGGGAGGGGAAACTGAGCAGTTGGGAAGGGCACTTCTGAAAGCACAGTTGGAGATCTCTGGAGAGTTCTGGGCAGGAGGAAGCAAGGACGGCAGGCTGGAGGGACTGCCCAGGCAGCAGGCCAGGTCTGCTCACTAGCCTTGGGCCACACCGGTGACCTCCAGCCCCATGGACAACCACAGGCACCACTAACAGTCATGGGGTAAGCCGGTGACCAGGGCTACACCAGTAAGTAGGGTCACACCGACCACCACAGGTCCCACCTACAGCCACAGGTCCCACCGATAGCCACGGGTCCCACTGACAGCCACAGGTCCCAATGACAGCCTCAGGCCACACCAACAGCCACAGGTCTCACGAGCTCTTTGGCCTGGAGCCACAGAGAAACCCAACTGAGGAATAAAGAAGATTCTGTAAACAGCGCACGACCTCTGGTAACAAACGTTACACAATTTGGTGAGAACACAAACACACTTTGCTTTCCTGCCACAGTGCGTGGGACGCACAGACACTTTACAAAAATAGCAATGATCGAGAATACTCCATTGTTTTCTGCCTGACAGTTACTGAATAATTTATACAAGGTTAAAGAAACGTAGAAAATAAACATTTGTTTTTTGTTTTTGGTGGGTTTTTTTTTTTACACAAAATAAAGTAACTATGCACACGGCCTCAACCTCCTATAGTTCGGCAGGGGTGTGGCACCCAGCGAGGGGCCCTGGGTTCCGGCCCAGTGAGCAGCTGCCATCCTACTCCTTGCCGGCACAGTGCATATCCTTGATACTCCTGACTGCGCGGTTGTCCACTTTGGGCCCTGAGGCCACCCAGCGGGTTGGCCTCCCTGGAGAGCAGCTGGGGTCTTTGGTGAATTTGTGTGAGAGGAACTTCTCTGCCTCTGGGGAGTCCTCGTCTCCACGACCCAGCTCCTCGTCCTCCTCGTCCTCCCCGCCACCCCCGTGGCCCACTGGTCCAGGCAGTGCCTCGCCTGCCCTGCGTGGCGGCGGCGTGAAGTTCTTGCACTGATAGAGCACATCCTTGTGGCCCCCACCTCCTGGGCCGCTGCCACCAGGCCGCTCGATGGGATTGCGGATGGGGTTGAGCGGAGCCCACTGGTTGTTGGTGCTCTCGTCCCGGGGCAGCCGGCTCCTCTCCCGCTCTTTTCTGCGCTTTCGTGTCCACCACACACAGATCACCACGCAGGTCAGCCACAGCACGCTGAACACACTACACAGCACGGGCACCAGTAGGCCTGAGGCAGGAGGGGATGAGGTGGGGACAGCAGCAAGGCAGTGGGCCCCAGAGCAGCCACACACACAGCCTGGGGACTCCTGTTGGCCAGGCATCACCCCTTTGGTTCCTGGCTGGTAGGGAGGGTCCTAGGATGGGGTTGGATCCAGCAGATGCCCCCAACCTTCTGAGCGGTGTCTGCCTGGCGGATTCCCACTGTCCTGGAAGTCCAAGGGGCCCCAACCCTTGCTCACCTGTGGAGGAGCCACCCACGACAACAGTCTCCACCTTGACCTCGGTGATAGCCAGCAGTAGAGAGTTGTTTCCCCGCTGCGTGATGGCAGCCACAATGGCATGAGCCGCACTTTGAATCAGGCTGCTGTCTGGCAGGTCCCTTGCAGGGCTGAAGGACTGTAGCAGAAGATGGCACTGTGGGGACAGCCCAAGGGCACCCTGCCTGTCTCCTGGAAGCCTGCCCCCTAATTTTAGGGCTATGGTTGCTGCCCAAGGCTATCTAGCTCCCAGCCAGCTGTATGGAGGGCTACCACAGACGAGGCATACTGTGTACATCAGGGCCTGTGAGAACCGGAGCCAACAGCTTGGTGGGCTCACGGGAGGAGGTCCTGCAGTGGAGTGTGGCCTGGCCCCACCCATTCTGCCAAATCCCTGCATCCTGTGTAGGAATGCCTGGCCGTTCTCAGTCCACTCACAGCTCTTGAATCCACACACCCTAGACTCCAAGGACTGAACAAATCAACACAGAGCCATGTCTCCCATGTACCCTCACACGGATGGCACTGCAACCCCATGCCAACCCCAGCCCCAAGGCACTTCCCACTTCTCCCCACCCCCAACTGCTGACCCCCTATCGCCAAGCACCTCAAAGCCATCCTGATCCTCTGTCTCACCTCCCCTGCCTGGATGCCCTCCCCCTGGCCAACCCCACTGGCTGCCAGCTCAGGGTCGCCTCCTCCAGGACATTCCAAAACCCTCTGCCTCCTCTCACACCTCCTGGGGACCCTGCCTTCTCTCCACACACCCTAGGAACCCTACACAAGAGCCTAGCTTCCATGGCTTCAGACCCCAGCCAAGCAAAAGGAACTTGAGCTGGTCAAGCCACGGTCCTACTGCCCATGCCGCCTCACCCAGGCTCCCTGTTGACCCCTAGTGGGCCTGAGCTCTGCACCCTTCCTTGATCAGAGACCCCGCCCCACACTTCTACTGCCTATCAGTTGAGAAGCTAACCCATGGACTCCTGATGACCATCGGCCACTCGGATCTTGGATGTTCTGGCACACCCAGTCTGGCCTCTGCTCTCCTGCTCTAGCTCAGGTAAACCTGCTTCCCACTGGCCCTGGTGAGCGGCACAGGCTCCCTCCCCTACCCCAGGTGAATGCCAAAGCCTCCTCTCCTCAGGCCTCCCCAGGTCCTGTGGGCTGCCAATGTCATAGCCATCCTGAGCGCCCAGGGGCCTGCTGAGACAGGCTCCTGCCCACTCACCATGGCTACCTCCACAGCACTGGCCCCTGAGGACGCCCGGTCACAGAGCAGCAGCAGCAGGCGGTCACGGGCCACCGCCCTCGTGGCAGGCAGCGAGCGGATCCCAGAGCAGATGGAGCCCACAGTGGTGCCCTGGGCAGATGGCAGCAGGTAAGCAGGGCCTGGGGTCAAGGATCTGAGGCTACTCATCCCTCAGCTGCCCCCAGGAAGCAGAGCGTGTAGGCCCTGCCACACACACCCTCTCCCCATGGCCAATGCTACCCCACCTGTAGGCCAGGTGGGGAGGGGAGAGGACGGGCCTCACAGAACTCCTCTCTCCTGCTTGGGCAACTCAGCCCCAAGCACCGAGAGGATGAGGCCTGGGCTGTAATGGGAACAGAAACGATGCTCAGAACTTTAGGGCACAACCCAGAGTTGAGTGGTCCATAGCCACCTGCAGTCCAGGCCCCTGGGACAGTTGAACTAGTATGTAGCCCAACTTGGACCTGCTCTCCCAGCCTCCCCACCCAGCATCCCGGGCTCAGTGTTCCCTCTCATATGACCCCACAGGTGGCCACCCCACAGGGGTGGGGCCATAGCCAGTGGCCACTCCAGGAACAGATGCCATGCCTGGGCTGAGGAAGTTTGAGGCCACCAGGACCACTCACCTGGGGCAGTTGGTCGCGGCTGAATCGCAGCGTGAGGCGAGCACAGTTGTTGTCCAAGTACCCAGCGCGTGGGAGGCAGGGGGTATTGGGTGGCAGGGGTTCTTCTGCCCCACACTCCCCCCAGGCCTCACAGGGCGGCTGCAGGCACTGGCCCGGAGACTTCTCCTGGCACTGCTGTCCAGGTGGGCACTGGGTATTCAGGGCATCAGGCTGGCCAGATAGCAGACAAGGCTTCCATCCACACCACACCTGGGGCAGGTATGTCAAGGAGGGACACCCATGAGCACACGGACACACAGGCAGGCCCAGACAGTACACAGAAGGAGACAGACACAGACCAGTGAGTCTCACAGCCCTGCCCCCACCACCCAGTGCCCCAAGGGGGACAGGCTGAACTCCACACCAGAAAGAATTTTCCACCATAGCAGGCAGAGCTAGGCAGGCACCAGGCTGAGCCTCACTTTCCCCAACTGCAGAAGGAAAGACAGGCCTTGGTTGTGCCAGGCCCCTCCCAGTTTGCTCCTCCCTCCCAGAATGAACCTCAGAAGTAGGCACCCATGGCCCTTGGCCCACCACCTCCAGTGCCAGCCTCTTAATATTTCAAAAAGAGCCTCAGGATTAAGGGTGCCTGAGGTAGCATGATGGACACTTGGCAGGATAAGGCACCTGGCAGAGGTGCTCTGCCAGGCCCCACCTTGCTGCAGTCCCGGTGGCCATCCAGGCAACGGCAAGTGTTACAGTCTTCCACCCAGGAGCTCCCATGTGGGAACGGCATGCCCCGGGACCAGCAGGACCTCCCAAACTCGACCACTGTGAGGAAAGGATCCAGGGTCAGCAGGACAGCTAGGCCTTGGAGGATGGACCTGACCCACACTGCCCAGCCCAGCCTCAGCCCAGTGTGGTCACAGTTGGCCTACCATCCTGGCACCGGGGGCCAGTTCGGCCTGGTGGGCAGCTGCAGCGGTACCCATTAATCTCATCTACACAGGTGGCCCCATAGGCACAGGGAGAGGACTGGCACTCGTCGATGTCTGTAGGGAAAGTGGTTGATGTACAGTGCAAGAGAGACTAGAAGCCCCAGGCAGGGCCTTGAACACAGTGGGGCAGGAGAGAGCAGTCGCACACCTCAGGCCAGTAGGGAATGGCCCCAGGGCCAGGTCGGCAGGGCCTGTGAGATTCTAACAGCCAGGCCACCTGCCCCACAGCAGCCTGAACTGGGACAACTGCTGTGATTGTCACTCACAGCCTGAGGCATTCCTAAGCTACAGGCCCTCACCCTCTTCCTCCTCCTATCTCTGAACTGGGGTGTACAGGGGCCTCTGGGATCCACCTTTTCCACGGCCAACACCTAAGACAACAGCCCTGGGTCCACAGGTGAGCCACATCAGGCTCTCCAGGGCAGGACCCCCTTGTCACCACTCAGCAGGGTATGCCCGGGGACCTGCAGGACACAGATGTGTGGCTTGGAGAGGCAGGAAGGGCTGTGGCTACAGTGCCCATCAGAATGTGAACATCTGTGTCCCGAGTCCTGATGCCAAGGCTGCATAAGGGACTCCCAGGTCCAAGGGCCCACACAGCCCTCCCTGCTCACTGATGCGGCAGTCAGGACCCGCGAAGCCAGGTGCACACTCGCAGCGGAACCAGTTGACACCATCAACGCAGATGCCACCATTGTAGCTGCAGGGGAGAGGATGGGCATCAGGGAGTCCCACCAGTGACAGACCCAGTAACCCCCTCCCCGTTCAGCCCCTGAGGCTGCCACTCACCAGGGCAGAGGGTTGCAGTCATTGGTGTCTGGGTTTGAGGGAAAAGAAACAGAGCTGTTTGTCCAGTACCCACTGCCCAGCACCCCCTGCACCAGTCCAGGCTCATGGATGGACAGACACTATACTGTCCATGTCAGCCTAGCACAGCCAGACTGTGGGGCAAGGGAGTGCCGGAGGTTTCAGGGGCCGAGGCAGGGTACCAAGGGGGTGGAAGCTGCCTTTCAGCAGGAGCCCCAGGCTGAGAATGAGTAGACAGTGGGAAGTCACAGAGGCTGCAGATCTGGGTGGAGGGATGGTCAGGAAATGGCATAGCAAGTTTAGGGGCGCAGATGGACTGCGGTAGACAGGGTGAAGAACAGGTCCTCAGAACAGAGAGGGGGACAAGGCTGGGGACCTACATGGAAAGAGGCAAACCGACCCTGCAACCTCCCCCACTGAGGGTGCCCATCCTCAGTCCGTCCCCCCACCCCCGGCTCACTGTGTGTGCAGGTGCGGCCCTCCCAGCCATCCCGACAGATGCAGGAGAACGAGTCACCGCTGCCCACACAGGTGCCCCCATTCACGCAGGGGTTGGGCAGGCAGCTGCTGTTCTTGGCTATGAAAAAGGAGAAGGGGCTGTGGTTAGCTCTGGACAGATCCCCAACACAGGCAGGGCAAGGCAGGGCAGGGCAGCTGGGGAAGGGCTGTGCCGGCTCCTCACCAATGGTGCAGGTGCTGCCCTTCCAGCCTGGTGGGCAGGCGCAGCGGAAGGTGTCCCCACTATCGTAGCACGTGCCACCATTACTGCAGGTGTAGGCGTCACACTGGAACTCGCCTGCGGGTACAAGGCCGCTCAGTGGGCAGACCGGATGGTGGCAGGCAGCCCCCCCGCACCCCCACTTGCTTGCAGGGGCCCCGGGCACTCACGCGAATGGCAGGTCTTGCCCTTCCATCCATCATCACAAGCGCAGTAGAAGTCATTGACCAGGTCGTAGCATCGGCCGCGGCTGTGGCAGGGGTCGGGGAGGCAGTCGTTGGGATCTGGGGGGAGGACGCCGGTCAGCGGGGGTCACCGGCACTGGGGAGGGCTTTGGGAGGAAAGCAAGAGCCAGGGCCAAGCACGTGGGAGCCTGGGGAGCCACCCGGGGCAACCAAGCCAAACTGGCCAGACTTGTGGACCCCTGGCTCACTGGGCTGGGTCAGGGGCACAGGGTGAAGCACAGGCCAGGCAGTGGTGGAGGACTGAGCACACTCACTGGTGTCACAGAGCTCGCCCTCCCAGCCACTGGGGCAGAAGCAGCGGAAGGAGTCCACCTCATCAATGCACGTGCCCCCATTGCGGCAGGGTTGGCCCAGGCAGTCGTCAATGTCTGTGGGAGAGAGCAGGTGAGCCGTCCCGAGGCCAGCCACCCCCACCCCAACCTGTTGTGTGCACCACTCACTCTCATGGCAGTAGGTGCCTGTGAAGCCGCTGTCGCAGACACAGGAAAAGTTGCCCCCAGGCTGGCTGACGCAGTGCCCGTGGGGGCCACACACACCGGAGGGTGCCATGCCAGGCACCCTGGACCCTGCCTCTACCCCGCAGCCATCAATCACTGTGGCAGACAGATGGGCGGGGATCAGGCCCACCCTCCCCACCCCAGCACCCATCCCCTACCCCACCCCACTCCACCCAGAGTGGCTGTACCCCGCACCTCTGCAGGCCCCCCCAGGGCACTGCTCCCTGGGCACTGAGCAGTTCTTGCCACCAAAGTCCTCGGGGCAGGCGCAGTAATAGTCCCCCTCCAGGTTGTAGCAGCGAGCACCGTTCAAGCAAGGGCTCGGCTCACACAAGTCCACATTCACCTGGGGGACAAGGAGGACAGCGTGTCCCTGAGAGCCCAGCTCTAGAATGGGGACATGGCTAGGCCTCTGCATCCATGCCAAGGCAGATCCCAGATCCTGAAGACCACTGCTCAGCCTGGACAACCAGGCCCATCAGTCCTAGGTCAGGCAGTGCCAACCGCAGCCTCAAACCCCCGCCCACCCTAGACTGTCCAGGCCCTGTCAGCTGGACGGAAACACCTGTGGGCCACCAGCCCACCCCCCCCACACTCCACCCTTGCCTGCACATCAGCCAAGCTTCCTCTGCCTCCCACAGGCAGCATCCGGCCTTGGCTCCTCCCGCCAGCAGGAAGACCAGCTTCTGACCCGCCACCCTGCCCGGCTGCCCTCAGAGCCAACACCACCATGTGCTCTGGACCTAAGGTCAGGCCTCTGCTGTGGGCCCTAGGAAGGCCACCCTTTGCACAAAGGCCAGAGCAGAGCCACGTGTGGCTGAGAAGAACAAGGGGAGAGGAGCAGAGGGAGCGCCAGCAGACAGCATTAAGGGACTCAAGGTCTAGGGAGAGATGTCCACTCCTGATCAAGACCCCCTCCACCATGCACCAGGAGCCCCGCCCTGCCCTAGGGTCCTTTGGCAGGCCAGTCCCCTCAGAGCCACAGGAGGGAGTGGGCAGATGAGGCTCCAGCCACCCAAGAGGGGCTTGTCAAACAAACAAGAGGCAAAACAGCCTGACCTTGGTGGCCCTGTGAGCCCCAACACAGCCAGCCTTCTAAGGACACTGTGATACCCTGAACACTGTAGGGACAGCTCCTGCCACAACCTTTCCAGGTCACCAGGGTAGAACAGGACAGCTGAGCTGCAGACCTCACCTCGCAGAGTGGCCCAGAGAGGCCTCGGGGGCAGTGGCAGCGGAAGCCATTCCACAGGTCTTCGCAGATGCCACCCCCACGGCAGGGGCTGCTGGCACATTCAGCACGTTCCAGCTCACAATGCCGGCCTCCAAATCCCCGCGGGCACACGCACTGGTACCCATTCACCAGGTCCTGCACGGGCAGCAGGTGAGCTTCATGCAGCCCCCTGTGCCCCACCGTCCCCCAGCCCAGGCGGGACAGGAGGCAGCCTCCTTACCTTGCAGGTGCCACCATGCTGACACTGCCCATGACAGTCGTTGATGTCTGGGGATAGAGGGGTACAGGGGCAGGGTCAGAGGGGCCCCGCACATGCCCCAAGCCCCACCCGCCTGCGCCACCCACCCATACTGACTGATGTGACAGTTGATGCCCTTCCAGCCTGGGAGGCAATCACAGTAATAGCCGCCAATCAGGTTTTTGCAAGAAAAAGCATTAAGGCACGGCTTCCCTTCACACTCATTGGCGTCTGCGAATGAAACAACGGGAGCCATGGGGCTCGGGCCCCACCTGTCGCTGTGCCTGGCACCCGCAGCCCCACCAGCGGCAGCAGCAGCCACATGCACAGCACAGTCCATGCACATACAGTCCCAGGGAGCCCTTACCCAGCTGACAGGTGGTCCCCACCCACTGCTGGGGGCAGATGCACTCGAAGCCATCCACCTGGTCCACACAGGTGCCGCCAGCCGCACAAGGGTTGGACGCACACTCATCGATGTCTGCAGGGGTAGAGGAAAGAGGCGTAGAGCATAGTCAGGAAGTGTGAGGCATGCCCGAGTGGACTGTGACCAGTGAGTGTGGAGGGTCACCAGTGAGTGTGGAGCATGGCCAGTAAGTGCGAGGTGTGGCCCATGGGGCTTGGTCTGCATGAGAAGGTAGGGTTCCACAGTGTGAGGCAAGACCCAGTTGCTCCCTGGCCACAACATCCACAGCCTAAGTGAACTCAACCGCTCTATCCCCACTCCCAGAGTGCCGCCTGTTCCCAAACCCCTTGGATGCCAGACCGGAACCCCTAGACCCACATGTGGACACTCACCAAGTGCGCAGGTGGGTCCACTCCAGCCTGATGGGCAGTGGCATTCGAAGCCAGATGGCACCTCATGGCAAGAGCCCCCATTGGCGCACGGGTTGGAGGCACAGGCGTGCTCAGCTGCAGGACCAGAGTGGGGTGGGTGGGGTGGACAGTGGCGGCCACGTCCTCACTGTTCCACGTGTGCTGCTCCCCAAGGCCCAAGGCCAGAGTCAACCCACTGCACTAAGTGGCCAGGGATATAAGCCCGCTCATCAGCTGATCACAAGGGTCAGCTCCGCCTGCCACCAACCCCCAAGCCTGGCCAAAGTTTGCCGAACACTCTCACATACCCCGCTCGCAGTTCTTGCCCGAGTAGCCATCTGGGCAGGTGCAGTGGTACTGATCAGGCTCAGCATTGATGCAGGTCCCCCCATTGATACAGGGGTGGTGGCTGCCACAGTAGTTCAGGTCTGGGGACGGGGTAGGAGTATCGGAGTCAGGCCCCACCATCCCCACCTTCCGAGTCTGAGGTATGCACCCACCCATCACCCTCCTGCCCCCCCCAACTACCTTTGTCACAGAGCAGGCCGCCCCAGTTGGTCTCACAGTCACAATGCCAGGGCTCCACACAGCTGCCGTGTACACAGCCGGGGTATGGGACACACTCGTCACAGAACTTGCCCTGCCAGCCGTAACTACACCTGGGGGGCCAAGGGGCGAGGCTGTGAGCTGAGCAGCTGAGAATAGCTGGGCAGGCAGGCACACAAGTGTAGCACACCACTACCCCCACCACCCCAGGGGGAGAGAGTGGCTTCAGGCCTCTGAACCACAGCAGCTCTGAGCCAGAAGGGGTTACGGCCAGTGGCCAGTCCCACTGTCACGGGCATTCCCAGCCGCTGGCTGCTACGGTCAGCCCCAGCTGCCCCGTCACTCCTCCCTGAGCTATTTTGAGACTTGCCCTGAGCCAGGCCCCAAGAGCAGGCGCCGGCAAAGGAAGGCCCAGCTGGGCCCAGGATATGAGCGCCAGCTCCCGCTCGCCAGGTGCTGCCAGGGCCCACAGCAGTTACCAGGGTCTGGGTAGGACAGTGAGACATCAAGAGAGGCTCTCGCCACCCTGACCATGTGACCTTGAGCACTGCATGTGACCTCACTATCACCCAAAGGCAGTATGTTCTCAGACTCTTAGCAAAGCCTCATATGGGCATTTGGGTTACACCTCATAGAAAGGGACACTGAGACTCACATAGGCCCCACTGAGGCACTTTCTGACCCAGGAGGAACATGAGCTGCACCTGGAATACAGCTCTGAGGACCTCATGGTTGAGGCCATGACCCCAAGGCCTGTCTTTGCCCACACTGTCAGTCACCATCCCCTCTGGGAAGTCCTGCAGGAGCTGGGCAGGCAGCCCACACAGAGCCCCAACTGGCTGCCTCCAGGTCCTGGACAGGACTCTGGGGGCCCCTTCCTAGAACACTTGGGTCCTATGGGGTGGGAATGATGTCCAGGCCACGTCACTTCCACACCGGCACCCGCCACAGGAGTTATTTTTAGAGAGGACCACAGCCCTTCCTGAGCTGCCCAGTAGCCACACAGCGCCTAGGTTATCAGCCCAGCTCACCCAAGCTGGGATGGGGAAACTGAGGCCAAAGAACAGGTGGCTCTGGATCCAGCCCTGTGTGTGCAGGGCAGGTCTACAGTGGGCCTCAAATCCCCACCTGCAGTCCTCCCTCCAGGTGACAGGGGTGGTAAGGGTCAGAGTGGGGCTGTGAAGTGCGTGCCTTGAGTCACCCGCCAAGGAGCACCATGGCCGGGCTGGGAGCCCAGTCCTCATTGGTCCCAAGGGCAGGCTCTCAACCCTGGGCGTGGGCAGCCCACGCCAGATCCCACCTCCTGGCTTTCCTGCCAGCAGCTCCAGGGCCTGGGGAGGGGCGGCAGGAAGGCACGGCCATCTCCGCAGCATCCGGTTAGGAAGGGGGGTGTCCCCCGCTGAAACCTGAGCCCTGGCTGCCTGGACTCACCCACAGGACCAGGGGAAGGCGGGTGGGGCTCACCTTCTGCCCCCCAGGCCTCTGTCCCAGCATTCCTACCCCTCATCTTCCTGCACTATGCGGGGAGGGGGTAGGTGGGTGGAATGAAACTTCTACCTCCCTCCTGCCTCAGTGGGGACACTCAGGCCACCCAGCACTGACCACCCAGGGACACTGGTTTAGCATCAAGGTAAAGAACTGCACACAGGACCAAGGAGGGTATGCAGGGCTATGAACAGGCCACTGTGCTCACTGCTCATGAATCATGCCTGCCCAAAGCCCCAGCCCAACTCCATCACACAGCACAGGTCGGGCTGCCCAAGCAGTTAGTCCCAAGGCCAAGGCCATTTCAGGGCCTACACCTAATGTCTCCCACCCAGACATGGCTCCTGGGGTGCTGCTTGCAAGACACCAACCCAGACTCGGCCAGGCAGCCCACCCTTCAACCCCTGCTCAGCCTGTCTGAAACTCCAGTGTGTGCAAGTAACATGGGGGAATTCACAGCCCCACCTCCCCTCCTCACCAGGACTACTAGGCTGTTGTTCACAGCACCTCCCAGGCCAATGAGACCATATCCCCATGTCTAGCCCACCTGACCCCAGCTCTAGACTCCCCTGCCCCTCCACTCCAGATTCAACAGGGGTGGCCTTAGGAAAGTTAAATGTGTGCCTCAGTGTCCTTGTGTGAAGAAAACATGGCAGCTCCTCTGAGGAGGCCAGCAGGGGCTGTATCTGGGCCCTCCTGATGTTTTTCCACCCATCTGGAGCCTCTCCTGCCATTGCCACTCAGGGACTCCTCCAGCACCCACAACACAAACCCTACTCATGCATCTAACAGTGATCACCTAAAGGCTCAACTCCTGTCACCACTCTATCCTCCACCCCTACAGGCCTGACTCACCACCCCACAATGTCCTTTGGTGTCCCCCACTCTGCTCTTGACTGCCAGGATCCCCTTCTGGCCTCCTTCTCACTCCTAGCAGCTCTGCACAGAGACTCTTGCCAGCTCCTGTGTCTGCACACCTCCACTTGCTGGGGTCCAGGACTTGTACCTCAGTGTTTCTTCTCCTAGCCCCTGGGTCTTAAACATGCCTACATGCCACAGGCCTCTCCCACACACCCTCCCTGTCCAACGCCTGCCTTCCCTCTCCTACCACCATCTCCACTGTTCAGCAGCTCTGGCAAGCAGGCTTAGGGTCCTTCCTGACCCCACACTCTTCCTCTCACTCTTACACCGAAGCCATTCACAAATTCTGGCCCTCTGAGGATGTCTGCAGGCCCTGCTTCATCTCAACCCTCACTGGTTTAATGCCCACCCTGTCTGGCCCCATGTCCCTGCAGCAGACAACTCCTCACAGTCACTCACCAAGTCCTTGGCACGCTTTATGGGCCATTCTTCTACCCTGCGCTCCCACAGGCCTGTGCCCCTCACCAATCTCTCCCAGGTACACATGGTGATCCCACAGTGCTCCCCCATGCTGCAGATGCCCCATCCTGGGACAGCTCTCAGGCTCTAGGCCTCTGCCCTTTGGCAGCCTGACTTCTTGGCCACCCTCCTCGGTCCCCTCCTCTTTGTCACCATCATTGGATACACTGCATGCATAGGAGGAGCAAGGGTCCCTGGGGTGGCCACAGTGTGGCCATACTTAATTTGGACCTTGACCTCCTTCCGCTCACCAGTGCCCACCTCCCACAAGGTGCCTGGTGGAACAGGGGCTCAGTGGCCTCCACTAAGCCTACAGGTGTGCACCAACAGCTGAACCTGGACAAGGGCAAGAAAGGGGCAGGCGCGAGGTGCTCACCTGCACTCCCCAGGCACGGAGCATCCCCCATGGAGCAAATTACATCCTTGTTTACACACGGCTGCGAACAGAGGGGCGGAGAAAGGCACAGCTGCAGCCAGCCCAGGCTCTGCCCCAGGCCCAGCCCCGTGCCCAGGCCCCACCCCACACGCCGCACAGCACACCTTCCTTGCACTCCTTGCCCATCCAGCCATCCATGCAGGCCTTGTTGCCGTACTGGTCGCAGGTGTAGTGGCCAAAGAAGTCATTGCGAGGCCGGCAGAACTTGTTGCAGGTGGCGCTGTAGTAGTTCTCATCGCAGCGCACACGGATCTGCAGCTCCAGGTGTGCCACGTGGCCACTGAAGTGCAGGCTTTTCCAGCGGTCCTCAGGGTTGATCATGCCCGCGTGGGACACCCGCTCGATCAGCAGCTCCTCTTTGGGAGCATCAGAGTCAGTCAACTGCATCACACACCAGCCCCACCCCGGAATGTGGCACAGGCTAGAGAAACCAACCTCAAGGACAATGGAGCAGCTGGGCAGGAGAAGGATGCAGACCTTACAGGGGCCAGGACAATGGGCAGCGGGGACACTGGCCAGGCCGACCTTGGAAGCTTAGGACCAGGAGCATCAGCCAGGCCCCATCCCACCCTACAGCCACCCCAGTCACCTCGAGTATCCCACCCACATACAAACTGGGTGGAGGGCACAGCTGGGTGGGAGCCTGCCAAGAGAAACATCCAGACTACAGGCTCCACAGGGAAGACCAAGGCTACTACCAGGGCTACTACAGGCCCCACATCTGTGTCTACTGCTACCCATCATATACGGTCCTGCACTGAGTCCAGCCCTGGCCCACATGGGGACAGCAGTAGGCTATCCCACCCTCCCTCCTGTACGGTGACTGGCTCCTGGCGATGCCAGACACATCCTACTGCCCCATTGGTTTGGTTTTGTTTTTCGACACTGGGGTTTGAACTCAGAGCCTTGAGCTTGCCAGACAGGCGCTTTACCACTTGAGCTGTGTCCTGAACCCTTATTTTTCAGATGGGGTCTCATGCTTTTGCCCAGGCTGCCCTCAGCCTTCAATCCTATCTCCACCACCCAAGTAGCTGGAATTATAGGTATGTACCACCACATCTGGCTTATTGCCCTTGTCTTAAGACAGGCCTCCCTTGGCCCACATGTGGGCCCAGTCACCCCTCAACTAAACTGCAGGCTAGAGAGAGACCTGAGGAGTGCCACCTGGACTCCACATCACCTCTCCCCACACTTTACAGGAGGTCCACCTCTCCCTCCCGCTTCTTTAGCACAGGCCTGGGGTGACTGGTCCCTGGGCTGACTGTCTCCTGGCTGCCTCGAACCTGGGCCCACCAACCCATCCTTGCTAAGGACCCTGTTGGCCTTGCTGAGGTCTCACCTAACCCCTGCCCCTCTCCCAGCCTGGCACCTCCAATGTAAATCTGGCATTGCCACTCGTGGGTGTGGGGCTCAGCATGACTCAGCACCCAACTGCCCACACACACCACCCTGGAGGTCTCACAGGGTCACACCTGTGTCTCTACTTTAAGAACAGCCAGAGTTCCCTCAGTCCCTCAGGCTGCCCTGGTCCAAGCCTCCACAACCATCCCGATTCCCACAGCAGCCACCTTGTTAACCTGCATCCTGACCCTAGGGACCATGTCCACATGGTAACGGCAATCCACCACCAGGAGGAGGCTGGTGTCCGCCCAGTGGCCCAAAGCCTCTGTGACCTGAGCCTCAAACACGAGCTGCAATCCTGCCTTAGGGCCTTTGCACCTGCTACTACCACCTCTGCTTGGAAGGTTCTTCCCCATTTACTGATAGAAAACCCTCTCTATCTCACCACCACAAGGCTGAGACCCCATGTACAGGACAGCCCCCCCCCAGCAGCCAGTCTTGGGAGATGGCCCACAGGCCCCACATTCCAGGACAGATGGGCAGAGAAGGGGCCACAAAGCCAGAAAGTCGCTTGAGGGTATCCTGCTCCACTAGATCACTGATATGGATACTGAAAGAACACGCCCAACAAGACAACGCTGAAGAAGCCAGGAGCAGGGAGAAAAACTGCACGCACACCTTTACAAAATCACAACCATGGCAGAGCATCCTGGTGTCCAGAGCAAAAGGGAAACCAGACACAAGATCCTCGAGGTAGAGGAAGCATGAGCCTTTGTCCCCAGCAGACAAAGGACCAGGACCCTGGCTATAAGCCCCCTGTGGAAGAAGGGGACCATCCTCCCTGCAGCCACCCTCCCAGCCGGGGCTTGCTCACCATCCGGAGTAGTGTCATTGTCCCAGTCCCAGGCCTCCACAATGAGCGTGAAGGAGCGCTGCAGAAACAGGGAGAGGCCAGTCAGGTGCCCGGGGTCCACCCTCTGACTACCCCTGTGCCAGGGGCAGGCAGGGCCACATGCCCTTGAGCCTGTTGGGCTCTGGAGGCTCTGCCCAGGAGCTCATTCCAGGTCCCTGTGGCTGCCTCCTCTCCCTCCACACCTGGCATGTCCCTCACAGATCCCCCAAGATGCCAGATCAAAGGAGGGCGATCCCTCCTAGCTAGGTGGCTGAGGGAGGCTCTTGGGGCTGTGAGGCCCAGGTCCAGCCTGCCCAGCATGGACTCATGTCCACACAGGGAAAATGGAGAGGACCAGGCTGAAGAGAAGCAGTGGCAGGCCCAGCAGGTGGCTGGGGGCAGGGCACTTCCATGAGGAACATCCCAGTACCTCACAGGGGTCCAATCTAATATTCATGTCACCCTTTTGGTTTAATCATACTCTACACAGTTCAGAGATTCCATTTTTCTGAATCTAAGCATAAAAGTGGACATCCAGTCCTGCTACTAACCCACCCAAGAGGGACAATGCCTATGGCCATCCCAGCTTTCCCTCCACAAGGTACATGAGGCACTTGCCCAGAGGCTAACAACAGGCCTAAACTTACTGCCTGGCCCCAAGTACACAGCAGGTACACAGTGAGCAGGCAAGACCTACAAACACATCTACCCCAGGACAGGGATGAAGGACCCTCGCTGTGCAGATGGGAAACTGAGGCCCAAGAGGCCCTGGCCCTGTCTGACACAGCTTCAGCCCCCTGCCACCTATCTCAGGCTGAGGTGATGGGTGGTACCATTGTCAGCTGACCCTAGCAACACAGGACCCATCTTTATGGGGGGAGGGGGGTGATGTGAGTTGTCTGCAGCTCCCTGGCCCTCATGTGACCCCTCTCAGCAACCTGGCTGTCCCCCATGGAAAGCAAAGGCCCCACCTGCTCCTCCCACTGGTCCCAGCTCCCAACTCTGCCTCCCTCTCCTTATCCTCTCAGAAGCAACCTAGCACAGGACAGGCCCTGGATTTCCCAGGACTTCTCATTGCCCACCCAACCTGCCACCTGTCACACCCAGCCATGGTCAGCCTCCTGACACAGCCTGGCCTCTCCAGTTCCCACCCCACACCTAATGGCACCTCAAATGTGGATGCCCTTGGTTTCACCGCCAGATACACCCGGCGCCCCTCGGGTACCTGCCTCTAGATGCAGGCCCCACACTGCTCAGGCGCAAGTCTGCAAACAGGGAGCCATCTGTCCCCTTCTAAAAGCTGCCCTGGCTGTCACCACACTTCTCAACCTTACCTCTTCTTAAGCCTCCCTTGTATCCCCTTCCCCACACCTGCCAGGCAACCAGCAGCTGCTCTTCTCCCGGGGTCCCTGTGGCCACTGGGGCCTCCCAGCACCCATCCACAGGAGCCCACGGGGTCCCTACATGCAGAACCCTCCTGGGGCTCCACACATCACCTTCCCTTCACCTCAGCATGCACCTCACCACCTGGAATGCCACCCTTGGGGCCTTCACCTTGCCAGGTCTATACCCTGGTGACAGCTGGGCACCCAGGCCCTTTCAGGTTTTTCTAGTCCTCTTCCTTCACTGTTTGCTCACTCATTCCTATACCATGGACCACTCAGACACTGACCACAACCACCACCCTGGCCAAAGGAACCCAGGAAAAGCCAGGGGCAGACTGGGGTCATGCAGGGGTCACCAGAGGGTGACTGGGAACAGAGGCTGCAAAGCACAAGGGAGGACAGACTGCATGAAGAACAAGGAGAGCAATGGGTGTGAGACAGTGGGTCATATCAAAGAGGGCCACAGATCCCAGAGTTGATGTTGCCCTTGATGGTTACTGGGATCTGAGACCAATGGGCTTAACAGTGGCAATGATCACGAATGGGAGCAGGGATACAGCAGAGGGCTGAGTATAAAAGGACAGGGCCAGGTGGGGCCTTGACCACAACTGCAGGTCAAGCCCTCAGGCCAGACCCAGTGGCTCCAGCCACAGACAGGTAGAAGAGTTCAGGCCTGGGGTCCTCATGTGAATGGCTGCACTGGGCCCTGGCTGAGCAGGGAGCTTCTCCTGGCTGCTGGGAAACCCACGCCAGCCACACAGGTAGGGTTACCACCACCTCTGTCTGAGCCTAGGGCTCCGGTTACCTGCTCCCACAGGGACATGCGCCTGCCGGCAGCCTAAGAGGGCCCCACCGCCAGCCAGCTGGGCTCCCTACACCTGGACGGCAGGAAATCATCAGGGAGAACCTGAGCCGGCACCTGCACGCCTCTTCCCACCTGCCACTGTGGGCCCCAGCTTCCCCCACTCCCAGCCACCCACAGGCCTGCAGGATTGCACCCCCCCACCCCGAAGCAAACTGCACCCCTTGAAGAGCTGTGGGCTGACACAGGGCCCTGCTGCACAGAAGGACAATGGCCCTCACACTGGAGGCCTGTGGGTTCCTAGGATGAGTAGAGACAATGGGGTGGAGGGACTGGAAACTGGGGGCAGGTCAGAGACCTGTCACCTGCCCAGGTTCCCCAGCCTCAGGGAGAAGAACCTAGTGCTTCCTCCTAGGCCAGCCTGGCTGGGCCAGCTGCCTCCCAGCCTCAGAGACCCCTCCAGCAGGAAGAGTTTGCCCAAAGCCCTTGACACGCCTCCTCCAATAAGCCTGGCCTGATGGCCCCATGGACACATTCCC